GAACTTTACAATAGCTTCGTCAGCTGTCCACATAATAATAGTAGCTAAGTAGTGCAATTGTACAGCGACTTGTAATGTTTGCCACAGAATTAGTCGTGCTGGATCAGATGTAGTGACGTACACAAAGAACAGAGCTGCACTTTAGACAGATCATAAGTGTGTACATATTCAATGGTGTAATTGTGCTCGACATTGCAAAGATGCTATACAACCTTGTTCTCCTCATATATGTCACAGCATGCCAAGTAGCGCGCCAGACTCTATGCTCATTGGACATTTGGAGAACTGGACACGGTATTTCAAGTGCAAGCTCACATGGCGCGGGCCTTCCGGCAGTGGCTTGCAAAGCGTCTGTATCAGATTGCGTGCGCCATAATGAGATACGGCAACATTGCCCACGCCTAGGGCGCGCAACATCCAATATCCAACCCCAGGCTTAGGTTTTAGGATCACATGCGCAGTACAAGTTCCCACAAGGAACAACCGTCTGCATTCTTGAAATTTTTGTTGTAAGCAGGTGGTGTTGGAAAACACCGGATTTTTAGCAGGAACAAGGTTGCGGTAGTGCCTGCTTGTGCCCTCATATGCATGAGTCGAGATAGGCGAGCTCCTGGTTCCACACGTCAATCTCAATCCCAAGCATTGGGTCACCATCCACCTTGGCAAGTGACCTTTCCGCTCTGCGACGCTTCAAGATCATGTCTGTCGCAATAGGCTGAAAACCCCCCTTAATTTGCCATGGCGTCCACTTCTTGTACGGATACCAAGCGGGCAGCTCTGCCACCTTTGCCATGATCATGGCCTCATCCAGAGGGCCAAGACCTTCATCCTTGACAAACTTCTGGACAGCTCGCCTCCATTTGGGGTGATGGGTCTTCCACCAATCGTCGTCAAGCTGCCTCCTCACTTTGTTGCCACCCCTGCGTCTCCATATTTTACCATCTTTTGTCACTGTTATTTCAAGTGACTCACTGGTTGCAATGCTGAGGATTTCCCCCTCAACCCATTCTTTTTGAACGATTGGGCACTTTGCTACTTCATGCTTGCACGTCTCTTTGGCCTCCCTCAGCTTCTGTGCAACTGCCTTGCTATGCGCCCGTACGGGCCCGGTAGGACACGACACCCAGTAACGTGGGGCGGTACCAGGCCTTCTCCTCTTCCACGGTATGAGAATACCCGTACTGCGCGGCGTCTGAACGGGCGCGGCAGAACACAGCGAAGAAGGGGAAGGGAGACGCATGGCGGCTGATGTTTGGCGGACCGCCTTCACCTTGTCGCTCAAGTAGTAGAAGTATCCGCTTCAAGCTTTCAAGTTGATTCAAGGCATTCAAGTTCCATGGCATGGTTGAGATGTCGAGGCGCCAGAGTTGGCGCCGAAAACGCTCAATCTGTGCCGTCCGTTGTGCCACGCTGGCAAAATCTGCTTCGTGCGATTTAAAAGTGTATGGAAAACTGCCAGCTTGGCACAACGGACGACCGAGTCCGCTGCCGCCAAGTTTGTGGGTATAATTACAAATTTGAAAATTGTTCAAAAGGTAGGTTGAGATTGACCAGTGCTCAGAATATTGAACTTCAAATCCCGTTTCCCTCCCCATGCTTGAAGGCGCCCCAGCAACAAGCAGCCGTCATGCCTTTCGCCGCCCCTTTTTCTTGGACGTGGTGCCCCGCTGGGCGCATCCGTTCCTCAGTCAGCTCCAAGAAAGATGATGACCTGATTTCGAGAAGCTTCAGGGAGAGGACCAAGCACGAAGTATCTAAGAGCCTGCTGTTGCAAGAACAATGGGTAAAGGGTGAAATTCTGAGCATCACCACCACTGAGTCACTTGTGATCACAGTGACAAAAGATGGGACAATCTGGGAACAGGTTGGCAACAAACCGAAGAAGCAACTTTCAGAAGCATGGTGGAAGGCCAAGCACCCCGCATGGAGGCGAGCTGTACAGCAGTTTGTGAAGGATAAGGGCCTTGGCCCTCTGGATGGGGCCGTCATCATGTCAAAGTTGGCAGAGCTGCCCATGTGGTTTCCACGTAAGGAGACATCGCTGCACAGGATCAAGTGGTTCCACGAGAATGCACGCCGCATGCTGCGTCGCAGAGCGGGCATGAAGGCGAATGAGCCGCTTCCCGATTACATCATTGTTGCTCTTTGCAAGAAGACACTCAAGGCAGCAAGCAGATGAGTGCACAAGCAGACTTGACCTTCAAGGTCTCTCCTGCAGAAAAACCTGGTGTTTCCAAACACCTCCTGTATGCATGATATTTCTCAACGTCGCAGACATTAGTTTTTCAAGGCGGAAACCCTCTGGACTGAACAGCTCAAATAAAGTCGCGTCTTGCTTAGTCGCTGCAACCTGCTTACATGTCAAGGACTTCCTAGCGCAGAGATTCCTTTTTTCCCAGATTCTGCTGATGCATAGGATCTTGCGCGCCACCACCTCAAGCATGCCAATGAGTGACTTTGAAGAGGTTGATCTGACGCACACAATCCAATGCAGGTAGAATCTGTATGGCTTTTGGAAAAGAAGCGCCCTCAATCTTCCTCACAAGGCTATAAATCTGGATAGGGTACTGGTGCACAAGTTGAAGATTTCCAAGAATTTGGTGGTGTTTGAAAGACCAGGGTTGTTGAAGCCGTTTTGGCTAGTCCTCATTGTCGAAGGTGCTGCTCAAGATCAGGCACGGGGTGGCACCCGCGCTGGGCACAGTCCATTTCACCGCATGGACGACCTTGCTGGGCAGCGTAGCCAAATCTCTAATCCCGGCCTGCTTGCGGAAGATGCTGTACACTTTCTTCCGGAAGTTTGCAGCACGATCAGCGGTTGCATCTTTTCTTGGCAGAATGGCCATTGAAGCCTTAATGATGGCCTTTTCCACATGACCGAGTTTTGTGCCCTTGGCAAAGTCATCCACAATGGAGCCCCAAAACCCGCGCTTGGTTTCGAACCATTTGGTATCCAGCACCTTCCAATGCTTGCCAGAGTTTTTGGACCTGAAAATGATCCCACGCTTGGTAACTCTGACCATCACATTCTGCTTAGTAAAGAACACCATTTTGGTTCCAGTTGCCGCCAATCGTTCCATGACTTTTGCAGTCTCTGGCTCCATTTTGTTCCACTGTTCCGCTCTGGCTTACGGCTGCTAGGAATGAGGACCTAGTAACGCCGGGCGTCTTTCTTGG